CAGATAATTTGTGTCCGTGTCTAACGTTGTGGGTTAGGCCCGACAGCTTGAGCGAGTCCGTCGTCAACTTATTCAGCCAGTTAGTTAGCTAGAATAGTTAGCATACTAGCTAGCCATTGCTTTCTGCCAATGAAAAAACCCCTCCTCCCACGGCACGAACACACAGAGAGAGCCAAGCTAACGTTAACTAGTCACCCATGTCCCGAATTCCCTTGAATGACTCTGGTTACCAGTATGTAAAAACAAAACACAAATGTAGGTTATAACTTACCCCTAGCAGCTACTGTTAGCTAGCCAAGTGCAAAGCTAGCCACTGAATTGACTCAGCCAGTTCACGTCTGTTCGCTAGGTGGTTCCAGCTATTGTTTAGTAGCTATCCAGGTAGCAACAAGCTAGCTACATTTCGAGCACAGTAGCTACTAACTACCTAACGTTAACACTTCAGACAATGAGGTTAGAAAAACAGCTGAATGGTAGGCAGCTAGCTGGCGTAATTACAGGTACTCTCAAGCGTGAATCAACTATCCACAGTTGCTAATAGTTACGAGTAGCTACCCGCTAGCTAGTCCAGGTAGTGGGTTAGCTAGCCTCGTGCTTCACCGGGCTCAGCCGAATACAATACTTACCTACAATAATTACATACAATAACCTACGATAACTACAATAACCTACGATAACTACCTACAATACCTAACTACAATCTAAATACATGGTTTAAGCTTTACTCGACACCATATAAGCCATATATGCCAAGCTTACCTCCCGCCAGAGAGAGACACAACCTCACCCGACGACTGCACCGACAAAATAAGTTACAAATATAATTGAATTGAATGACTGTTTCTGAAAATGATTTGGTTTGGTGAAAGTTTAGTCTACAGTATTCAATAGCTAACCTGTTTGTTTATGCTATTCACGTAGTCTCCTTCATTTGTTCCAGAGGGTATTTGAATGGGGGATATGTGTCCAATCTATAACAGCAATGACGTTTTGAAAATCTGTGGGATGAATTAGGCTATTTATCATTTTTATCATGTTGCCTAGGTTTATTAATTTGAGATTAGCAAAGCATCACTGGCAGTCAACTGACCGCAGCCTACTGTACCTGCCATTCTGTAAAAGTCGTCCATGATTATATGGACAGCTTGATGGCCAGGGAATTTAACAAAGACATTAAAAAACTTCCAGTGGTAAAAAAAGGGTTACATTTGTTATATGGGTTGAGTACATTGACCAGATATGAGTGATTGTGCGGAAAAACGATAACGTTAAAAAATAAATTATTCTGAATGATCTAAAGGATGTATTCAAGGTCCAATAATTAGTTCCCTTTGTAAAGCACGGCGAACAATGCAGGCACTGATGTCAAGTGGATTATCCAAAAAGGGACAGGCCATAGTGACAAACAAAAATATGAAGTCCCATATTTATTTACCAAGACAGGCTAAGATCAAGTTAACGTAATAGGTAGCAGGTGTGCTTCAGAGCATTCATTGCTATGGTTTCTGATCAGGCTCTCTTTCAAGCTCTCTTTCTGGAGCTGGAAATTCTGAGTTTACACAAGTTCTGGTTTGACAGATTTCTGGAATACCCCTCAGGTCTAAGTTCATGTAAAATATAACACAGCTATTAGATCTATCCTAGGCTACTTGTCCATGTTCTTCAGCATGAACTAGTCAAAAGCTGCTACTACTAGAATTGGGATCGTTTGTCTACATCTTTTGACCTGAGAACTACAACAAAAACAGTAGTTAATAAATGGAATGGATGTCCTGTTCTGATTTAAGTCATTGTGGAAAGTTAGTTGAATTAAGAGGTATTCAGCCATGGCATTGTAACCATTATTTTGGTTAACTAGCTAGCTAATGCTAGCATAACTAGCTAGCTACTTCTGTACAAATTGTTTTAGCTGTTACAGTGCCTTCAAAAGGTATTCATAGACATTGACTTATTCCACATTTTGTTGTGTTACAGCCTGATCTCAAAATGGATTAAATACATATTTTTTCTCACCCATCTACACACAATACCCCATAATGACAAAGTTAAAACATATTTTTATATATTTTTTGCAAATGTATTGTAAATGAAATACAGAAATATCTCATTAAAATAAGTATTCACACCCCTGAGTCAATACTTTGTAGAAACACCTTTGGCACAGATTACAGCTGTGAGACTTTCTGGGTAAGTTTCTAAGAGCTTTCCACGCCTGGATTGTGCAACATTTGCCCATTATTCTTTTCAAAATTCTTCAAGCTCTTGGTTGTTGATCATTGCTGGACAACCATTTTCAGGTCTTGCCATAGATTTTCAAGTAGATTTAAGTAAAAACTGTAATCGGCCACTCAGGAACATTCACTGTCTTCTTGGTAAGCAACTCCAGTGTAGATTTGGCCTTGTGTTTTAGGTTATTGTCCTGCTGAAAGGTGAATTAATCTCCCAGTGTCTGGTGGAAAGCAGACTGAACCAGGTTTTCCTCTAGCATTTAGCCCGTGATTAGCTCCATTTATATCCATAATATGATGCAGCCACCACTATGTTTGACAATATGAAGAGTGGTACTCAGTAATGTATTGAATTTGCCCCAAACACAACACTTTGTATTCTGGACAAAAAGTGAATTGCTTTGCCACATTTTTTGCAGTATTACTTTAGTGCCTTGTTGCAAAAATGATGCATGTTTTGGAATATGTTTATTCTGTACAGGCTTCCTTCTTTTCACTCTGTAATTTAGGTTAGTATTGTGAAGTAACTACAATGTTGTTGATCCATCCTCAGGATTCTCCTATCACAGCCATTAAACTCTGTAACTGTTTTAAAGTCACCATTGGCCTCATGGTGAAATCCCTGAGCAGTTTCCTTCCTGTACAGCAACTGAGTTAGGAAGGATGCCTGTATCTTTGTAGTGACTGGGTGTATTCATACACCATCCAAAGTGTAATTAATAACTTCACCATGCTCAAAGGGATATTAAATGTCTGCTTTTTACCCATCTACCAATAGGTGCCCTTCTTTGCAAGGCATTGTAAAACCTCCCTGGTCTTTGTGGTTTAATCTGTGTTTGAAATTCACTGCTCGACAGATAATTGTAAGTGTGGGTTTCTGAAGGCACTGTATCTAAAGAAACGCCAGGGAATATGTTTATGGTTGAACTTTCTGTAAGTTTTCCTTCAAAAATGTTGCTCAAAGCTGCGTGCATAGTGCACTACAATAAGGACAGACAGTGCTTCCGAGCACGAGGTTGTGTTCCGAAATGTGCACTTGTGTTCTCCTGTTCTTTCAAGGGTGATCTTCCAAGAACACCTGATAGAGCATACTGTCTAGTATGAGAGAACGCAGAGCGCTTCAAATCCGTTACATTTTAAATGTACTTAGATGTGACCTCTAACCTAAACAGGAAACTGCATCATCACGCAGCCGGCGTGGTCATGGCTAGAAGGGATCAAATTAACATCATTTTAGCTAACCCTTTTCCTTACCTAATTCTCCTAATCTGCTATGTTAGTTATCCTAAACTGCTACGATACATCAAAACTGATGTTAATTTGACAAAAGCTGGATCCCTTTTAGCCATGACCAGCCTGCATCAACAAAGCTAGCTTTTATCAAAACAGTACGGTATTAACGTGTTTCTTTGACAGCCCTAAATAATATACATCTCTGAATTGATTTGGTAAAATGTAACAGAGTAAAAAGTAAGTTAGTTCCTTCAGAAATTACTTGAGTAAGAGTACAAGTACAGCGCTAGCAGAGAGTAACTAGAAAAGTACTAGTTCCTCCAAAAATGTACTTAAGTACATGTAACGCGTTACTTGTAGTGTGTTACTACCCACCTCTGATGAATGGAATAGCAGTTGTACAATATCATATGAATTAGAGGATGTATAGTATCATACATCTTACCCTGTCGTACAATAGTATACAAATTGGATGACATAACTTATCATAGATCTTGGAGGACGTATAGTATTGCCCATATATCTGACAACAGATTGCTTGTTTGACCATAACAGGACAATTATAGGAGAATTTACATTGGTGGGGAACTAACGACAAAGATTAGGATAAATAAAACGACAAAGGTTAGGTGAATTGGGTTACATTTAGAACAAAGGTTAGCTACAATTATACAGTCATCCTTGACTTGACTCGAATATGCAACCTTTGGATTGCGAGAACTGTCACGGATTCCGCATCCCATCCTACTCGACCAACTTCCCTACGAATTTTAAGGTACGAATTTCACTGTACTGTTTTACACCTGTTTTATCACGTGCACGTGATGAATAAACGTTGAAACTTTCGTTTCTGTCTCAAGTAACTACTAACTAAACTCAGTCCATGCCCAAAGACATTTAACTAACCCAAGATAGACCAGAGCCTGTAGTTTCCAATGAGAGCAAATAAATCATAGTGGACAGAACAAGCAAAGAGGTGGGCAGAGCCAAGCACGAGCTAGTAAGATCCTATTGGAGCTTTATAGCATTTATATTCACATTTCGTTACGAAACGCCTACTATGAATTGCGAGTGTGCAATAACTCAATTCGCCCATGCACTCCTTCTAAACAACACAAAACATTTTTGAAACATTGGCAAAGGGTAACGTCTACAAAACGCAGTCCACTCTGTTTGTTACAGATTCTAGTTTTGGAAACAGATAACTGTATGGAGATCAAATGTTTAATCGATGAGAAAAGTAGCAGAATGTCGGCCAAAATCATTCTCGCGCCATCTTCCGCCACTGGGCTTCCTCTCATCGCTATATTTTGGTAGTGAGTGGAAACGCCAACCGGATGCTTCACATTTATACATCCGGTGAAATATCTGGCTCTTTATTCTGTCTGTGACATGGTAATGCGCACACGTTAGTCATTTTGTGTGACAACTACAACTCCCACATTGCCGTTGTGATATCCCAGAACCGACCGGCCGATCACCTCTTCCGCAACCAACTTCCCCATTATTCAATCGAGAACCTTGTACTACTGAGCAGAAATGTCTGGGCTCCTCAGAACAATTTCAACCCGCACTGCTCCAGCTCTGCGGGGACCCATGATCACCCAGAGGGCCAGTGTCTTCACCAGACCGGCTAAAGACCCTCTCGGCCCCGCTGTAAGTAACTTTATCTGTAATCTTGATACTGGCAATAATATAATTAGTAACTAGCTCGTACTAGGTGTTGTGGCATACGCTATGGTGTTGGGCCTGTGAGTCAACGTTATCTAGCTAACTAATTGATAGCTGAATGTTTATCAATGTATTATTGTCCTAATTCCACTATGGCGGGGTAACATCGCAACGACACACGAGTGTTTCATAGATTTGTCTTATTTTAGCCAAACATCCATTGAACATTTTAGTTAGACTGGAAGGTCACGTTAGCAAGTTAGCTAACAGTTAGCTAGCTAGGTCAGTTCGTGACAGGCCAGGGCAGAGATGCATAACTACCAAGCCAACGCCGGCTGACACACTGACAGGTCGCGGTTCTATTTTGCAGTATATTTTACTATATTATACCTTTTATAAATACCTCTGCTTTCCTATCAATGTAAAACGTTATTTCATTATTGCTATTGTGCTAATAATTTATTAACGTTTATTGGCGCGTTAATCTACAAGGTCGTGTTAGCTATGTAGCTACGTTAGCTTGTTAGGTAACATTGCTAGTCACTGATGATTCACCACATGACATTGAGGCAATCATCAGTTATATACATTTGAACATTCTGTAACGTTATACAACACCCTCAACATGGCACATTGCCTGGAATAACGTAACCATGTTTACTCTCTACCTCCCTTTTTGTAGGAGACAGTCATCGGACTGGGGATGTTCGCGGTGGCTATCCTGGGACCCTCCGGTTGGATTCTCGCCAACATTGAGAACTACAAGAAGAAATAATAACTTAACATGGACTCTGTCTTTTAGCTGGGACGTCCCGTACATTCTCTACTTACTTAAGACCCGCCTGGGACCATAATCACTTCAAAAACTCCTCTCTTAAAACCATGGAACAAATCCCCAACGTCCATGAACTACCTCTCCATCTCCAGTTTACTCTTCACTCCAGTCTGTTGACTGTCAGCCAATAAAATTGGCTGCACAACATCTCAAGAATTGTGCATTTTAATTGGCTTCTTCAAACAAGGAGTATGTTACAATAATGATAATAAAACGTATTTAAACTTTAAATGGTCTAGTATCAAATGTGCATGGTATGTGCTTCTCAAAAATGCCAACACCACCCATTTTAAAATTGCATGCGGAAAAATAAGCTGTAAGAGCTGTCTGTTTAATATCAGTGGCCACCAACAGTGTATCAGGTTCTTTCTGATTTACTATGGGTACTTGGAAGTTTGAAAATATAAACCATTTTACAATATTTCACATACCTGCAAATAATTGTTTTATGGGTTATGATGTAAGAAAGTACTGTAGCACTGATATTCTTGAAATAGTTATTTCAATCTAGTTGTCATCTCAATTATGATTTCATTTTACATTTACATTTTAGTCATTTAGCAGACGCTCTTATCCAGAGCGACTTACAGTTAGTGAGTGCATACATTTTTTAAAATAATAACAATTCATACTGGCCCTACTCCAAACAGAAAACGTTTTGCCACGAAAACGAGAGTTTCTATTGGACAAATTCAGGTAGGTCGCTCCGTTTTGGTTCTTAAACGGTTTCTGTTGCAAGATGTAATAATTACACCCCAGACTTAACTGGGCAGAAAAAATGCAATGTAACGTTCAATTAAACGGGAACGGTTCGGTTCTGAGCGACCAGTTGAAAAAAAAGGAAGGGTTGGGTTGCTGTTTGGGGAAACGTGCCGTTTAGTACAAGCCCATACGCAACGTAGTAAAAGTTTAATCGGAACTGAACGCACCCCTGGTGCGGTGGGTGGGTGTGACTGGCGCTCTCTCAAAACGGAGATCGGATATGATCTGAAACCCGCTGGCTCCTTTGACTACTAATTGCTACTTTTTTTGCCGTTACTCTAAATTAGCATTTTACTTCAATGAATTATAGCCTAGCAGACTAGGCTTGCTCCTCCAACTGGCTATTTCAGTTACAGAGGCAGAGCATACATTGAAATACAATCTCAGTGTAGTTTATAGCCTATAGCAGGGGTGTCAAACATACGTGAGGGGTACAATCATTTACATTAGTCATTTAGCAGACGCTCTTATCCAGAGCGACTTACAGGAGCAATTAGGGTTAAGTGCCTTGCTCAAGGGCACATCGACAGATTTTTCACCTAGTCGGCTCGGGGATTAGAACCAGCGACCTCTTGGTTACTGGCACAACGCTCTTAACCACTAAGCTACCTGCCGCCCCACCAGCCTACGGGTGGTTTGAGTAAAGACAACAATTTACTTAAATGACTAAACCAAATCGAAACTGAGGTCCCTCCCCTCTGACCTTCTCCAATGGGTTTTGAGGTGAGAAGAGGTGGTGAGGAGTATGCGATTGAGATTCTCCCTGTGTAGAAATTATAATGGACCTACATTCATCAGCTTGCTAATAATCACTGTTGATAGTTTCATCCTAAAACGATCAATACCACCATCTGTTGGCAAGTAGCTGCTGTTACAATATAATACGCTGCTATAGAAATTAACATACTCTGGTGCATTCGCTTTTTTGTGCACCTTTGTGCTATGTCAATTATTGAGGCAAGGAGTTGGCTTTCATTTGCCTCAGTTACATTTGTTAGTGTAGATTTCATGTATCTAAGTCTGTGCATTTGAAAATTTTAAAATATGTACAGAGTTGTGCTCACATGACCCCTAAAAAGTACTTATTGAATATGTCCGTCTCGTATTTAATGCCAATGCCATCAGGTTAAAACAGACAAAAGGAGTCAAGATGTTTGTTTACAATATATTTAGTTTATGACGTAATTACTTAAATGATCATTGTGGAGTAGGAAGTGGAAAATGATCTGATGCATCACGATTAACTCAAATGAGGGCATCAAAGAAACTTGTCAGTGCATGATCGCTGTTCTGCTCTGCTTTGTCACAGAAAGGAGGAGGGTTGAACATTTCAGGTTCTTCCAATCCGAGCACCATGTCATAGAAACTCATACTGAGGATAAAAAAGACAGGCGGTCACATAAAAGGCTCTTTCGCAATTCATTTTTCTCTATTCCTTGCATCCTCTTTCCTTGCCTCCTTCTCAAACCACATTGAAGGAGATTACCCAATCTTCCCCTAAGCCAGGGCTCCTGTAGCACCAAACCCTTCAAAAGGTAAGTGGTACACAATCTCCATTTTAGGCGCATCCTTGGGGATCCCCATTGGCGTCCAGGGATCCTTAAAGGGGACCTTCTCACAGGTTTGGTTATGGTGGAATATTTGATAAGCTATGCCCTGATAAGATGAACAATGATGGACACAACGTCAGAATTATTTTTTGCCCTAAATTTGGATTGAAATTGCACCATATCCTAGCTTCAATCTATTCAATTGTCTTTACACTTTGTCATTATACAGTTCAACCCCCTGATTAACAAAGATACTTGGCAAGATACTGGGTTGTGGCGTCTCAGGCTCTGCAGACTCTTGGATTGCATCCTAACTGGCATGTCGCTTCTACCAGGTGACGTGGAAAGGATCTGTGTCTGCATCACATTCTCTCACTACTGGTGTCCCCCAGGGCTCGGTTCTAGGCCCTCTCCTCTTCTCTCTGTACACCAAGTCACTCATCTCATTTCCTCACAAATATACTTACTGTGATATGTGGTTGTCTCACCTAGCTACCTTTAAAATGGATGCACTAACTGTAATTCACTCTAGATAAGAGCGTCTGCTAAATGACTAAAATGTCAATGTTATATGGCCGAAAAAATTATCATAATGGTTATGGGTGTCCTAAAAACCTACTACTACTTCCAGGTAGGCTCCTTTCACAGATAGCTGCTTCCAGATTCCAGAGGTCTGTGTGTGCATAGGTAGTGGTTTGTAAAAAAAAGACATGTAAATATTGCTCTGGTGGGTTTGATGACATTTTTTAAGACTTACCAGTGCCCTCGACCAAAGGTGGTGATTCTTTAATGTGGAAAACATGAATTAGAAACATTCATTCTCAAAAGTACAGTCATACCAATGGGTAGTACTTTCCCAAATAGAGATGCAATCTGGCATGCCTCATACTTTTTGCATGTTTAGGCTATGGACAATATGTATGGTGCTATTTGATTAGCATATTGACGGTGGAATTAGTATGGTTCATTGTTATGATACTTTTAAAATAACAACGTTTTTCTGACTTACTGCATGGATGAGGGCGTTGGGCCAAGCTCCCAACAGCCAGACACAGGCTGATGGAAAACAGAAGGTAGGCTTGCATTGTTTGGCTCTAACATTGGTCTAACATGTAGTACCAGTCAAAAGTTTGGACACACCTACTCAAGTATTTTCATTTTTTACTATTTTCTACATTGTAGAATAATAGTGAAGACATCAAAACTATGAAATATGTGTCATATAGTAACCAAAAAAGTGTTAAACAAATCAAAATATATTTTAGATTCTTCAAAATAGCCACCCTTTCCTTGATGACAGCTTTGCACACTCTTGGTATTCTCTCATCCAGCTTCATGAGGAATGCGTTTCCAACAGTCTTGAAGGAGTTCCCACATGCTGAGCACTTGCTGTTGGCTGCTTTTCCTTCACTCTGCGGTCCAACTAATCCCAAACCATCTCAATTGGGTTGAGGTTGGGTGATGCAGCACTCCATCACTCTCCTTCTTGGTCAAATAGGCCTTACACAGCCTGGAGGTGTGTTTTGGGTCATTGTCCTGTTGAAAAACAAATGATAGTCCCACTAAGCACAAAACAGATGGGATGGCGTATCACTGCAGAATGCTGTGGTAGCCATGCTGGTTAAGTGTGCCTTGAATTCTAAATACATCACCGACAGTGTCACCAGCAAAGCACCATCACACCACCTCCTCCATGCTTCAAAGTGGGAACCATACATGTGGAGATCATCCGTTCACCTACTTTGCGTCTCACAAAGACGGCGGTTGGAACCAAAAATCTCAAATTTATGTATTTTGTTTCAGAGACTTTTGCCGCCCAAAAACTTCAACATCCATTAATGAACATTGGGACAATATATTTCAACATCCAAACATTGGGAATGATGAGAAATGGAATATGGAAAATTAATGTCTATTTTGTGATGTCATTAAAATTTTATAAAGGCGTTATAATGAAAACATTGTGACTTGAAGAGCTTTTACACTGTGTCTATCAGGGTTACATCCTTTACCTTGTGTAGAAAATATCAAGGAGGAAGACAATGTTTTCGTGAAGATAGGAACGTGATTTTAGCTTAACAACACTTTTGCCTCGTAACTAGCCACCCACGAGGGAGCTCAGAGAGCATGTCAGTATGACGGAAACGCCCCTCTTTACCAGGTTGCATAAAAGACTGAGATAAGAATTATCAGATCAGACTAGACGGACCTCAAGCTGCAGCTTTTGTCCATATTGGTCCCGACTCTGAAAATCAACACGAGGTGAAGACGACAAAGTTGCCTCCACTAACAATCAATGTTACGGCTGAGTAGCTGTTCTAAGTACTGTATCTAAGAAGTTGAATTTAAGTGGGACCATCCTGTTACTCTTCAAACCATCGTCTACTACACTGCTCTCATCACCCCACAGGGGATCATCGACACGGCTGATTAGCCGTCCTCAGAAGACCACTTCCAGAACGAGTGAAAGTAAACAGACAACTAAGAAGAAGGACATTGTGACCTCTTGTGGACAATCAGAGCCTTACATTTAAAAGGCCATCCAAAAGAGAAAGACCAATCGACCCCTTCCCACAAAGACCCGGGTCCAACAGAGATACACGACAAAGACCTCCAACACGTAAATAC